AGTCCAGGGAGTCACACCAACCAAATCCTACATGGCACTTAAGGCACAGACCTGGAAGTCATCCTAGACATTGACTTCTTCCTCCCCTCCAAACCCCACCAGAATCCAACCACTGGCAACTGCTGGTGCTTTTGGCTTTCAACACCTGTTCACATCTCTCCATGTCCATCATTACAATGTCTTTCATTCAGGCCCTTCCTGCCACAGGGCCTTTGCACATGCTGGTGCCTCAGCCTAAATCAGCTCTCCTCTTCTTATACTTCCCCTTCACCTGATTGACACTAATTTAGTCCAGGGAAACCTTTCCTGACTAGATCAACACCTCCCATGAACTGCTTGCCCTCAAAGCAATTTTCCTTTCGATACTTATCAAAATAATAACTCTGGGATCCTTTAAATAATTTCTTTTTCCCTACTAGACTGTTATGTTCCATGAGACAGGAATTATATATATTTTCCCCCAGTATTCTAAAACCACTGCTTAGAACACTGAATAAATGCAGGATGAAGCATGCATCCACATTCAGACTTTAGTTGCAGGACATTCTCTGTAACTTAGTAGTTTCCCTAAAAAATACAGGGTCTGTGACAGCACCCTGTAATAGAGCTACCGCATCAAGCTCAACTTGCCTAAAAGGCTTTATGCCATTCCCAAATGTTTCCTGGGAGTAGCCTTCCCCCTTCCCAGTCCTTTGAAAAAGACACAGCTCCACCCTATTCTTTCTAGTTGAGAGAAAGCTTACAGAAGTCTAGGTTCAAGTTGAGGTCAATGGTTTTAAGAATAAGAAACAAACTTTTCATTCAAATATTATGTGATTTCATAACATTTAAACTACTTATAACATTAGAATGCAATTTTTGTTGTTGGTTCCATTTTATCTCTATTACTATTTTCTAGAACAGATAAATGCATAAAGAGCTTATATGACCTTTCCTTTTTCTTTTTTTGGTTTATTATTCCTTATTTTCCAAACTCTTTATTGACATTAATTCTCCCAGGCTTCAAATATAAGGTGCTTGACCCTAAGTTTCATTTGTTAAGAAGGATTCTTACAATTTTGCACTTTGTTTGGAACCTGTAAAGTTGAATGTTTGCACACAATTAAAAATTAATTGATGACAACATAGGCAACAAAGGAAAAAAAAAAGATAAAATGGACTTTATTAAAATTAAAAACTTCAATTTTAAAAGTGCAATAAAAGATATTATATCAAGAAAGTGAAAAGACAACACAAAGAATGGGAAAAATTTACAAATCAAGTATCTGATAAGCATTTAATATCCAGAATATGTAAAGAGCTCCTACAACTCAAGAACAAAAGGCAAGCAACCTGATAAAAAATGGGCAAAGGACTTGAATGACATTTCTCTAAAGAAGCCATACAAATGGCTAATAAGCACATGAAAGATTCCCAACATTAGGGAAATGCAAATCAAAACCACAAGGAGATGCCACTTCATACCTACTAAGAGACATGTCAGACAGATAAAGCAAATACACTAAGATATCACTTGTTTGTGGAACCTAAAAAGCCAAACTTGCAAAAACAGAGTAGAATGGTGGTCTGGTCAGGGGTTGGGGGTAGGGGAAGAGAGATGCTGTTTAAACGGACAAACTTTCAACTAGTAGACAAGTAAGTTCTACAGATCTGATGCACAGTATAGTGAATACAGACAATGGTATTATAACCACTAAACTTGCCAAGAGACTAGATTTTATTTGTTCCCACCACAAATAAGGAAATGATGATTATCTGACACGATAAAGGTGCTAGAGCCACAATGGCAATCATATTACAACTAGAGGCCTGGTGCATGAATTTGTGCACCAGTGGGGTCCCTCAGGTTGGCCTGCAGTATTGGGACAAAACCAGCACTCCGACATCCCGAGGGGTCCCGGATTGTGAAAGGGTGCAGGCCAGGCCAATGGACCCCCCTGGTGCACGATCGGGGCCGGGGAGGGACACAGGAGGTTGGCCAGTCGGGGAGGGACCACTGTGGGAAGGCTCCAGGGCATGTCTGGCCTGTTTCACTCAGTCCTGATCAGTCGGACCCCAGCAGCAAGCTAACCTACCAGTTGGAGCATCTGCCCCCCTGGTGGTCAGTGCACATCATAGTGACTGATTGACTGGTAGACTGGCCCCTGATGGTCAGTGCACGTTATAGTGAGCGGTTGAGCAGCCTTAGCATATCATTAGCATATTACACTTTTGATTGGTTGAATGGCCAACTGGTCGACTGGACACTTAGCATATTAGGCTTTTATTATATAGGATATGTAAATGTATCAAATCAACATGCTATACACTTTAAATCTACATGTTATATATGGAGTATATTTTAAACTCTCCCCAACACTTCTCACCTACTATAGCTATTTAAAAACAAAACAAAAGAGAAAATAAGTGCTGGCAGGGATGCGGTGAATTTGGAACTCTTGTTACTCTCATTACATTGCCAGGAATGGGAAAAGGTGCAACTGCTGTGAAAAACAGTTGTGTGGCTCCTCAAAAGTTAAATATAGAATCGCCATGTGACCCAGCAGTTCCACTCATGGGTACATACCCAGAAGAAATGACAGCAGGGATTCAAACACATACTTATATACCGATGTGGATAGCAGCAAAATTCACAGTAGCCAGAGGGGAAAACAACCCAAATGTCCATCAACAGATGAAAGAGTAAACAAAATGTGGGTAAGTTTCTCTATCTGGTGAAAATAAATAAGGTCTTATGTTCTAGGAGGTGGCAGCAAAGACTGAATTAGCGAGCACTGAACTCCTCCTCCTACGGGAGCATGAGGCTCTCAAGAGCCACCGGCTCTAACATTTTCATCAACTGACCTATACCTACTCCCGTTTTATGTGTATCTCTGTTAGAGACACCTTAGTGACACATACTGTTGTTTCATTAACTTTGAACTCACGGCCAACAGCACTAACTCATGCCTGACAGAAAGAAGCTTATCTAGAGCCTGCATTTTCTCCTTAAGGCGCATTACAGCCTCTTGCCCTCAGGAACCCTAGACTTCAGCACGTGCTTGGGAGTCACGTTCAACAGGGAAATCACCAACAAAACGCCCAACAGTGCCAACCTATGGCACTAAGTAGACCATGAGAAGGACACTTGTTTACAACATGAGGGCTGACACGGGACACAGTCTCAGCTGAAACGCACAGGCTGGGCCGCGGAAACGCACTGCCTCTGTGCAGGCCTGCAAACAGCCCCGAGAGTGCTTCAAGGGTTGACTCTGGGTTACAAATAAATGTAGACAGAGGCCGATTCACAAGTGCAAAACCTGTTATCAACGAGGACCAACTGTATATACATACAATGCAATAATATTCAGCCGTTAAATGAAATCCTGATACATACTCCAATAAGGGTGAACGCTGAATACGTGCTAAGTGGAATAAGTCAGAAGCAAAAGGACACACATTGTCTGATGCAATACCTAGAACAGGCAAATTCACAGACTAGCGGTTATCAGGGTTTTGGGGTCGGGGGAATGTGGAGTTACTGCTCCATGGGATAAGAGTTTCTGTTAAGGACGATGAAAAAGAACTGGAGACGGACAGTGGGGAGGGCTGTACAGCAATGTGAATGCAATTAGCACCCCTGCACTGTACACTTAAAATAATTAAAATGGAAATAATATTCAGCTGTTAAATGAAATCCTGATACATACTCCAATTCCTTCACAATTCTTTCTGTTACATATATTTTATGACAAAAATTTATGTGCTAAATGAAATTAAATGGATCACTTTTATCTCCTGTTGAAAAGAAATGGAGACACACTGAATGACACCAACAGCCTCTTGCCCTCACTTCTTTTTAAAGAAAATACCCTCCTTACTATGTTTTTCTTTGGCTTATAAGCCATATTTTAAAACAGGCTTATTATTTAGTAATATCAACTAATTACTGAGGACAACAAGTAAATTAAAATGTGCACGTCAGTTGTTTGGCCGCACTTCATGCTTTTGGTGAAAATTTATGCAGTAACAGAATTATTCTTTGTAATTGCCAAGAGAAGGGTCACCTTGAGAGCCAACAACTGACGTTCCTGATTTATCTTGGGATACTGTTGCCTGCAGGTCACCGTATTTGGGTGAACTAGTCCTCCCAGGTAAATCAGTACTGGTACTATTTCAGTATCTTGGCACTCTGTGTCCACTTTTAATCTCTTCCATTGCTTTTGTTTCTTTGATCATCAATCTATTTCTCATCTGCTTCCTTCCCCACTGAACACCCCTATTTTCATATCTCCAGGGAGAGCCATCTGTTGGAATATGGCTGTGGTTCACTTCATCACTCAAACGTTCCAGTTTATTTTCTGTATCTCTTGACCCAACAAATACAAAGAAGCACTGCTGGAGAGACACAGAGGAAATGTGCTCATGTGGAATACAAACGGCATTAACATGTAAACTTAAAACACAGGAAGGAATTCATGGCCAAAGGAAAACCAACCGCAATTCTTTCAATCTTTGAAAGTGCATCATAAAACTAACAGTGTGGCTTCTCTTATGACTGCAAAGAAGAATAAATATAATTGTCATGAAAACACCCCAAGCAGCTGTGCAGCCTTAACAGAAGAACCACTACATGAATGTGCACAGAAGTAGGTGCTTCTACACTCACACTTCCTAGAAATTAGACAGTCTGAGTGTAGATACCAAAAGCGGCTGTTTTCTATTAATTGTGGCTTTGTACCAGTCAAGCTTTTAGAGCCAACTGGATCATCTTTCTTTTGGGACAATTCCCACATACTATTATGTGAGATTTATATATACTGATTTATACATATGCAGGCATGTGCACGATGATTTGGTAAAGAGTAATTTTTACATTCTCAAATGATAGCTTTTTTTAACTCTTAAAAATTGCAAGCAGCAGTGGATTCCTTCACAAACATACATCTGTTTAGAAATCATAAAGACATAAGAAATAACGCTGCAGTCTGCTTTATGAAGGTTAATTAACAGGTACTCACTCATTAAAGACCAGGTCTGGTGCGAAATAGAGAAATTGGCTGTTCGTGTGTTTGTACGACCTCCAGCTCAAGGCGAACGAGGATAGACACATCCAAGAATACTGGATGAGGGTGATTTGGTCCTCAAGAGGCAAGTTTTTAAATCCTGAAGAACAGAACAATTAAACACAGAAATACACTTAGCATTTGAGTACATTCCAGGAAGAAGCTTCTTAAGTTAGCCTCCCAACAGCCACCTTCCTCTAAGACTCCAATCAATGTCACAGTCATTTACAGAGCACCCACCCTGGGCTTGGCCCTGTTTAACGCCTCATTTCAATTCACTCTGAATTCTCAATGAGGGTGAATATCCAGGGCCAATGAGACTGGGGAATTCAGGGCGTTTTGCTGGATGATGGTCTAAAACCCTTGGTTAGCCTGAAAGTCTCTGTATTAACCTGTAAAACATCTCTATCCTACTCCCAGTTAATAATATTAACATATAGGGTAATTTAATAACATCAGCTACTGCGTTATCTGCAATTATGTAGCTTTTACTCTTCATGAGTTTGCAGTGGTTGAACAAGCATTATTCCTTGCTTCCCAGAGTCTGGGATAACCCTGGACTTCAACAAAGTTCTGAAGTTGGATAAGCACTCTTGACACCTGTGCCCCTGTCCCACAGGCCTCCTTTCTGGGTCTCAAGCCCTTCTTTTGTTCCTCTTCCCAGGCCCTGTATTCCCAGTGACATTAGGCTCCTCTTCAAAAAATCCGTCACCGAGCTTTCCCCAGTCTGCATTCCTATGGCTGTTGGTTGGCCACAGGTCCTTTAACAAACTGCTTTGGGTAACTGTACTGGGCTGTTATGGTAGCAATTCTAAGTGATGTTTCTGTAAATTAATGGGGACCTTATTCATAAAATCCTGTGGCATAAAAAATGACTAAAGTAGGAATTTCAAGGACAATTTAAAGGGTGCTAGAGGTAAGATGTTATTTTTTGAAAGGGCAGATTTTTAGGGGCTCCTACAACTTAATAGACAGGTCTTGGTGTACTTGGTCTCTGGTTAGATCAGCCTTGGTTACAAGCTGCTAGTAACAGGCTGTTCTGCTTTCACGACCATTTCTCTGGGATGACATTGCCATCGCAGTCATCCACGGGAAATGTGTGACCTGTTACCAAGAGAACCTTCAACTCTAACTGCTCCAGAGAAGTGAGCACACTAACCAGAATTTCGTGACGCACTCGATTCATCTGATAATTTTACAATTTGCCCCCAGGATTTAAGAGAAAGCCAACTCTGATCACTCAGTTGGATGTGGTGAAAGAGGTTGCCCCGCCCTGTCCAGTTCAGGACACAGACCGTGGAAGGAGAGGCAAGCCTACCTGGAATTACCTTTGCCCACTTCACGACTTGAATCATCTGCTTGCCCGCGAGGCGGTTCAGCGTGGAGAGCAGGCCCTCGGCGGTGTCCGGTTTGGAGCCGTCGTAGCCGGCATACACGATTTCGGGCTCAATGGTTTCTAGGATCATCCCAGGGGAGGGCGTGAGTGCGCGTGAGATTGTGGAGAGCTGAGGGACCAGCGCCGTGTTGACAGAGGGCTCTTTTGCAGGAGCGATGTAGGTCGTCCCTTCCTCAGGGCTCTGGGGCGGTGGGGGTGGTGGCGGGGGCTGTTGCTGCTGTGACTGCTCCTCATGAATCCCTTTTAACTTTCCCAACTTCTTTGACTTCCGGGCTGTATAAAAATCATAAGTGATGAGAGCAAATTAAAATTACGATAGGGATATACACCATATGAGGTAAATTACAATCAAACATTGATTTATATAGAGTGGGGCAAAAGAAGGTTTACAATTATTCGTGTGGAAAATAAAGGGATCCTTAATAAATAATAATACAAGAATAAGCTCTGCTTTGTGTACTGGCAACTGTAACCTACATTTGCCCCACCCTTCATTGGTTAAAACATGCCTTTCCTCTAAAGGTGACTTACGATACTAACAGAAAGAGTAGCTTTTAAAATATTTTTGGAATACCATGTCCCAATGCTTTATATAAATGAACCAATTTAATGACTTTATGAGTAGGTACTATTCTTAGTCTCATTTTATAATGAAGAAACTGAGACCAAAAGGGTTATGAGAGCTGCCTAAGATCGCACAGCAAGTGTATGTAAAACAGAGACACAAGTTCAGAGGAAAAAGTCATTTCATGGGTTAATAAATGACATATGCTGCAGCTAAGCCTTCCATACGTCGGTAATTCCCACTTCTTATCCACTGAAGAGTTGCCAGCAAGCACCAGGATGGCCTGACTGGCTTGTTATCCTCGTGCTGTCCCTTCTCCCTCTGACTAGGAGTTTCTTTGGTGCTGCTTCCTCTCCCTGTCGTGGCCCCTGCACAATCACCTGCTTATGCAGAGTGGTTATTTTGTGCAAATGCTGCCAGCCCAGCATCCCCAGCTCTATTGTGGGTGCAGAAGCACAAATATTGGGTGTTCCTCCTCTGTACAAGCCCCTTTGGCACCCTGGGAAATGCTATACCTAATGCAAGTGATTCACAGATTTCCACAGGATGAGTGGGAGAGCAATCAACCCCAAATCAACATAACAAAGGGGAAGAAATTAAATATCTGGATGATTTCAAACTGGACAGCTAACGAGTAAATGCACAGGAATTGATACCACACAAAAAATCAGATGCACGTTACAGCAATACACACAAAATGCAATCTTTAAAAGTCTGTCCACTCTTTGTTTTTAATATAAGTAAGGAATTCACATAACATATAGCCTAGAATTAAAACATACCATAATACTATGTAAGAGTCCTACTTTAGACTTTTAGAACAAGTGACCATATATATGCTCTGATGTACCCAGAACAGCTCTGGTTTATGCCTGTTTTCCCAGCATGATTATCAATAGTGCCCTGCTTACTCCTAAAAGTGCCAGATTTTGGTCAATCGATTAATACTGTGCTCATCTTCATTAAAACCAAAGAAATAGTGCTAACTCTATTAGCAACTGTCTTTCTTTCACACTCCTTTCAAGGTTATTATTGTTAAAATAGATAACGGAAATGAAGGCATGAGAAGGTGGAAGGGGATATTGGCAGGCAGATAGGAGGGTTATGGGTGGATGGCAGGTAGGTGGGGTGGGTGAGTAGATAGGGAAGATAAATGAATGGATAAAGAGAAGAGAAAGCCCAGAATTTAGAGATGTGGTAATAACTCAATTTGCAATTGGAAGGTTTTCCATTTTTAAAAAGAATTTGTTTTAAAATCCTTGAAGACCCAGACAACTTCTACTTAGTTTAACGTATGTGGGGAATTTACAGGATATGAATGTAACACCGTGTAGGACTATGCCACACCAATGAACTTGATTTTAATAGTAACCATTCGTGTTTACAATTACAGCCATTAACATTTACCACATTCACCACAGAAACACTTACCAATTCAGATAAAAGCCACTATCCAACAATAGAAGTTTCGGCCACACATTCATTAAATATTGGAATGGGCTTAAAAGATGAACAAGCTATAATTCCTATTTTAAGGAGTTTAAAATCAGCAAAGTAACTTTAAAATTCTAATAATTTCAAATCATTTCATTTCTTATAGACCGTTTCCTCCTATATAAAGTTGAGGCAGAAAAATCTGATTATTTTGAATGAAAAACAGATATGTCAATCTCATGCATACTAATGGGAGCTGCGACAAAGTATTGTTCAATAGCACTGAGCATACAGGAGGCAACCAAGGTGCGTCTGAAGAACAAAAAAAAAGAAAAAACAGCAGCTAAATGAGGAAGAGGAGGAGGAGGAGGGGGAGGGGGAGGTGGAGGGGGAGAAAAAAAAAGGCAAAACAGAGAAGGAGAAGAAAAGAACCAAACATGTAGATAATCCAAAATGCTGGCCAACTGATGACTCTGGAAGAGCTTGGGAAAATCCTTAAAACCGTGTCCTGGTCATCAGGAATTAGACACTTGGAAATGCCCCTGTGCCACATACACCTGCGTAAGCCTCAAATGATTCTCATATGAGAAATGGGGACAGCAGGGCTGCCCTCTCCTATCTCACAGAGAGCTAAATGGATGAGAAAAATAAAATCCTGTTGAAAGTCGTTACTAACATCTGAAATAGTATTTCAATGTTACTTCCATTCTTTCCCATAATTTTGCAAATATTAAAAATGTCCCCATTCATGAAAATGTCCTCACCTTGTATAAAACTACATCTGATAATAACCACAATTTGATTGACTAGAAATAGCCCAGGGTGATATTCTCAAATTTTATTAAGAGTGATATTTGCTTGCAAATTAATGATAAAATTCACGTTTGTTTAAGGCCTTAGGTCTATAATGCTGTGTTTATTCTCATGGTCTATTTAAGGTCAGTGCAATGAAATACCATGAAAAAAAAACCCTTAACATTTCCTCTAATGTTATAAACTGTGGCCTAGAACATAACCTACTGAGCAGATTATCAACATTCTGTTTAGCATGTCAGTCATATTTAATTTCATGCTGTGGTTTTATGAATATATATGGGGCACTTGGAATTGAATAATAATCTGTATTTACTTAAATACTTCAAGGCAATATGTACTCTCAGTGTGCAGACTCTTCATCCAGTATCTTTTCTCAGAGCATGGAGGTAAGGTTACATATTAATTATACTTATATTGCTCCAGGCAGCCTTCCTAAAATGCTTAACCGTTCTATACTGTTTTTCTAACACCTGCTGTATTCTAGAATTAAAGGTCCCGGAAGTTAAGGTCTTATGTATTCCTACAACATTCTCCATGATGCTTATGGGTACTCAATAAATGTTTGTTGACAGAATTTATTTCATTTTCAAATTTTAAGTATTTGTTTACTTCCATATAGGAAACATAGGCAAGTTTCTGAGATTTTGAGATTCAATTTCTGAATTATTAATTATTCTTCCTTTTCAAAGTGTCTACTGATCCATTTGTACTAATAGAGTTGTTACTCTTAAAATGACATCACTCAAATAACAATAAACTAAATGTACTGGGCACTTAGGGGCTCAGCACAGTTCAAAACTGTGATTAAGTATATTTTTTTCATTTTACAGGTAAGAAAACTGAAGCACAGAGAGATATGTCCTCCAAGGCCACAGCCTGGGCTCAGAGCCTACACTCTTAACCTCTATACCATGCTCTCTCTCTGCTAATCCTTTCTCTTTATTTAATTTGTATTCATTTACACTTTAAGGTTAACAGGAGCTTCAAATCCAACTGTATAATTAAGAAGTTTGCTAATTACACAGGAAAAGTCTTTAGCCAAAGATACCTGATGAGCAGGTTTCCATTATCCAAAGCAGGAGTGAACATAAGTTTTGGGTCTTATCCCTACCTGCCACCTTCCTTAAGTGTGGAGTTAACAGGCTTGGGCACTCAAACTCCCAGGTGGCCAGAGCCACACTTTATTTCTCCACTGCCAGCCACAGTTGCGCGAGTGTGCATGTATGGCGTGCATTAATCTGACTAAATGTCTCCCAGTCCCACTTACGCCTGGAGGAGTCTCACTTTTTCTACCTGGATGCCATAGTCCCTAGCACATGGGTAGTGGCTGCCCTCTGGGGCCAAATCCTTAATTACTGGCAGCATCCTGACAGCCAGTTTCTCCTGGCCTTGCTGGGAGGCAGAACTGCACTGACTTCTCATGAATTGTTCCTCCGGAGCTGTGGGGTGGAGAGGCCCTGCTTCCTATCCTGCCGACATGCGCAACACCCAGCTGTGAGCATCTGGTGGGACCCTATAAAAATGGTGGCAAGCTCCCAGTGGGGATCTACAGATGCACAAAGGCCATGAACGTGGCATGACAACCCTTCCCTTTGGCTTTGCTCTACCTCCTGAGGCTGATATGACCCAGTACAGACACTTTTGGCAAATTACTGGTGTGGTAGAAAGGTGGCTGACTAGGAACTACATCTTTCTTGCTTCCCCAGTAAAATGAGGAGACCGACAGGGTTCCCGTGGTCCTTCCATCATGACTTTCTCAAGTGTGTGCATTTAAAGATCCTTTAGATTCAGAAGCAGGGAATCAGCACAGATTTTTTTTTTTTCTTCTGGAGTAGAATAAAACACCGATATGGAATGTTTTCAATCACAACATTTCACTGGAAAAAGTTAAAGTGAGAAAGTATTCTGTCATTTTAGACATACTTCCTGCCATGTCTTGACATTTTCGGTGTTGGCAGTAATTATAATGAGGAAGATATATGGATGTTATATGAAAACACGCATCTTTCTGTTCATGGGCCAAGTGTAATCACTGGCTTAAACCCACAGGCCGCTATCTGCATCCACCCCTTCTTCTCTCTCTCACGGCCCCTCACCCAGATCCTGAGTTCCTACTTTCCACGTCCTCTTTACTTGAGGACTTCCCTTTGCCTTTCTACTGCCAGAGGCAAAATGCTCTGAGAGTTCAGGAGACAACCAAGTATTTTTGTCATGAAACCAGAGAAGGAATGTAATTTTTCTACAAATTTACTTGGTTTTGCAGCAAAACTTCTCTCATTTGTACTAATAGCAAATGGGCATCTATGGTTCTCAAGGTCACACACACCACAGAACTGGGGTGGCGGTCCAGGGCACACTGATTCAGGAATAAATAACTAATGTATCAATCGGTAATACTGAAGAGGCACTGCCATTGTTTACAAATACTCCGTGAGAGGCTAAGAAACTTGAAAAGAGG